CACTGACCAGTCAGAAAGATCTTGGCTGAAGCAGGGTCCTTGAAGGCCCTGTGTGATGAGGGTGAGAGGGACATTAACCACTTAGTTGCTGAACTGTGGAAAGGTCTGGGAGCTCTGGGGAGTGGCCAGGGTAACAGGGTGGGGCACCCAGGGTATTGAGAGCTGCAATTTTTTACCAATTGGTAAGGAATTACTGCAATAGTTTAGTAACCAATACTGGTATACAGGCGCAGACTTGCCGAATGTCACTTCTGCCTATTCTCAGTCACTTGGCCTTGGGGTAAAGAGAGGGAGGCACTCTGGCCTCTGAAAGAATGCAGATGGAGAGATTGCCCTGCTAGCCCTTGGCTGGTCACCCTGAGGCCTGCTCTTTGTCCTGCCCTTGCCATGCTTATCGGCAGCATTTTTCTCCGCAACTCACAGGCTCCTGGCTGATCAGTAGTCAGTTGCCTGAAAGACATTGAGCCCTTACTGTGCTTTTGACAACTTTCTAGGTATTTTGGAGGTTGCACTGAGATCCCTTTTTGTTGGGAGCTGGGCAGACAGGAGTCATGCAGAAAGACCGTTACAGAGTAGGCAGTGCCTGGCCTGAGCAGGTCTGCAGAAGTAGCCAGTGTGGCAGACATCAGATATATGGGTTAGGTCCTCTAGGATTTCCACGGCCTCTCCATTGTCTCAGTTAAAAATATGTATATGGATATTTAGGTAGATATCACAGAGGGTGTAGATAAAGACCTTAGTAGAAATCTTCTTTTCTTAATTGGTTCTGGATTTGAGGCAACTCTGGTTCCACAAAGGGATACTTTTCTTTCTCAGGGTCTGTGGTTAACTGTCTCCCCGTTCCCTGCCCATCTCGTGTCAGGCAGAATTATCATCCCCGAACAGGCTGGGAGCTGAGGGCAGAGAGGTCTAGTTCTGACCATGGCCTGTACCCCAGGAAAGAGATGGGCAAGTTCTTGAACCGGGAATTCTGGATGTGTCTTCTGACGGTTTTCCTGGCTGGTTTTTTGCTGAAAAAGGGGGAGCTACATTTGAATACCTCTTCTGCCCAAACCTCCCAGCCCTGCTCTGGTCCGGGCCCTTCTCCTTCCCTGTTCTGACGACTTTTGGGGAAAGGATGGAGGCCACTGAGTGTGCGCCCACCCAGGAGCAGAAGGGATTGGGGTTCCAGGAGGCCCTGCTGCCCTGCCTGAGGTCCCTCCCTCTGTGAGGCTCACAGCACTGGCCTGGAGGGCGAGGGGCCTGTTTAGCGCCACTGTTTTTGTAAGCTAATGAAGGCAGAGTGGGAGCCACAGGCAATGATGCTGGGATATTAACTCTGACAGGAAGCTTGATCATAATTATCTTAACGAGGATAGGGTTAATTACAGTGGAAACTTAAAAGTTCTCTCTGTTTGAATCTGCTGGAGCTGAATGCATTGTGATGTTTTGTCATTTTGATGTGACTTTGGAAAAGGCACTGGGACTCTCCCAGCAGCCGCAGCGGCTCCTAGGGGAGCCCAGCCGGAGCCCTGCGAGCGAGGTAACCAAGATGGTACCTGTGGGTGACATAATGGGCAGCTTTCCTGCTGGTGGAGCGGAGGCCGGCAGCCTCAGTGCACTTCGGAGGTGCTGATTAGGTTTCCAGAGCAAACCACCTGGCACAGATCGGACCGCACACCGGGTCTCCCTGCCTGCCCTTGACATCTCCTTGCTGGGCCGGGAAGACCTCTCTCCAGCTGGCTGTGCCTTGCCCTCCCTGTCCAGACCCTGTCCGTGGCACTCAGGCCTGCCTGGCCTTCCCAGCCCACCCCTCAGGCGTTTGTAGCCAGAGCCAACCAAGGTGGTGGGTGACCGTGGAGTGACACTCACCTCTTCCACCAGGGCTCTTGGGTCTGGGGTGCATTTTGCTGTCCGCACACAAGGTTATAGGGGAGAAATTCCAGTCCTGCCATCTTTTTCTTGTAGCTACCATAGCTGTCGCTTGAACAGCATAGATCTGTGTGGACCCTTACACCCTTTTTTGCCTTGTCATTTAATAGCACACATCTCTTTGCAGGCATCTTGTATATAGGGGTATGAGCTCAAAGATTGACCCACATAATTTCTTTCCCCGTCTCCTTCCAGGAAAGCAGCAACAACAACAATAACAGTCCCGTCTCCTTCCAGGAAAGCAGCAACAACAACAATAACAGTAACACAAAAATAAACTTATTTTAAAAGTAAAAACTAAAAGCACCTTCCAAGCATCTGTTTATCGCCTTCCACACGCCAGCCAAGCTCCAGAAGTCCTGTCCCCTCCAGTTTTATCCTTCATTACGCTCTCTGCCTCCTGTCCCTCCAATCCCTCAGCTCTGAATTTAGCTGATTAAATCACCAAGTGCACACCCCAGCGATGACATGAAGACAGGGATTTATTAATTAGCAATCCCCCACCCCCCGAAACCTGCCTTTTAACTGAGCAGCTAACAATATGACATGGCAAAAAGGATCTCGAACCAGACAGGTGACAGGGGATTTGAGCCTGAGCTTCCCAAGTGCTCTCTGAAGTCTCCCTCCTGTTTTGAGCTCTGCCCCAGAGCCCACCCTGGAGGGAGAGGCATCTCTGGGGGCACTCCTTCTAGTGTTCCCGGTTTTGTCCTCACCATGTGGTGTCATTTTGTCTTATGCCTCCCCTGAAGCACTCTTGGAAGGGAGCTTTCTTCTGCTTGCCAGTTGCCAACCCTTTGCTGACTCTCATGATAAAAGTATTATATTTGGATAACATAACTCCGGGACAACGTGTATTTGGATGCCACCTTTGACCAGAGCCCAGCGGATGTTCGTGCACAAAGGACTGATTAGCCATCCATTAGGTGCCCTGATGGGGAGGTGGCCACGACTCCCCTTGAGGTAAACGGGTCTATAGTCCTGACACTTTGGGATCAGCACTCAGTAACCCCCAAGGAGGAAGGGACTTCAAGAAAGCTTGAAGTTTCCGTGCAGAAGCCACACTTACTACGCACCTTTGCACATCTCCTCCTCTGCCCACCCCCTGCATCCTGAACCACCCCCCACACCCCTGACCAAAGGTCAGGGCTTCCAGAAAAATCAATGAGGAAGGAGAAGAAAGAAACCAGTATTTGCTAATAGGTTGTTAGTCCTCTCCCACGTATTCCCTGTAAGATCCTGTGAGCTGGGTCAGCACAGAAGAAGGGAACTCAAGGCGGTTGTTGAGATGCCCAAATTCAGGCTGCAAGTAAATGATGGCACAGAAGTAAAACCCCAGGCCTTCCTGACTGTACGTGTATAAATTTTGTTTTGCCTTCCTGAAACCTGAGGAAGGAGAGAGAGGAGGAGGAGGAAGTGGAACTTGGTGACCCTGTTGACCCTTGACCCCAAGTGTATGCAGTATTGCCCCCCTGCTACGGCGCAAGTAGTGTCAGTTACGGTATTAGACGTGGTCTGGGTGCTGGGCCGTGGCTGGGACCACCTGGAGGTTTGGGGCAGGAGTGGGGCTGCTGGTGGAGCTCTGGGCCCAGTGGAGTCTGGAGGTTGAATTGCTTCTTCACCAGGCATCTTTCACCTCCTCTTGATTTTGGAGTCCTATTGACACAGGTCCCACAAGGGAGAGATGGATGTATTCAGAAAGGTCTGGTGCTCAAGTTCACACTCACGCCACACATACAGGCACTGAACAGTCACATCACATGTACCGGCATTGCACACGCAAGCAGGAGCGTCTGTGATGGAAGGGCCATCAGTAAATGCATAAATAGCTTAGACAACATCTCCCCGATTCGTTGCATTTTATAGAACAGCCAGGCAACCCTGTGTGAGTCCACCCTCTGGTCAACGTCGTAGCTCAGCTGTCAGCCTGTGCAAGCTCAGCACAGCTCTTGGGTCTGGCAGGTGAACGAGCTGGGAGCATGTGGCCATGTGAGTCCCTCCACTGGGCAGCTTTCTGTAATTACCATCTGCATGCACCGGGCAGGCACATGCGCACAGCTGCCCCTCGCTGCCTGCACCCCCAGCAGCCCTGTGCCCCTAACCTTAAGAGTTAACTTTCAGCTACGTCTATTAACAGGGCTGTTTTCCCCGGATACTTTTTTTCTCTCTGAGCTGGGTACTTAATTCTTTCCGATGCCTGTTTCTTTACTGCCCCGACATCTCCATTGCTGCATTGCTGCATTCGGCACTTTTTTCAAAGAAATGAAGTGAGAAATCCACTTTCCATAAATTAAAACAGTAAACGTCAAGTCAGGAGCCTTGAGGCAGAAATTCCCGCAACCCCTTCCTTACCTCACCTCCCCCCCCCCAAACAAAAACAAAAACAAAAAGAAATCATGAAAGAGAAAGAAACAGCCATTCAGACTGGAGTGATTCTGTGCTTCCGCAGATATGTTGCCTTTTGAGGCGGCCACAGGGACACTGGGCAGAAGCAAATTAAGTGATTAGTAAGGAAAAAAAGCAGAGGGGAGAAAAAGTCAAAGGCGGTGAATGCAGAGAAAGGAAGCCTTCCTTGCTTTTTCCTAGGACTGTGTAGAGGAGAACCGCTAAGAAATGATACTTGAAGTTATATTTATTATTGTAAGAGGGGTATGATATTTCTGGGCAGGAATGATGGATGACAACTTAAATTTGTGTCCAGGGAATGAAGGTGAACTGTGACAGAGTTATTTATCTTGGGAATGGAGGTTAGGGTCAGCTGAGGCTGGGTGCCTGAAGGCACAAGACATTGACAAATTTATCCTGCAGGCCGTATCTGAAGCCCTTTGTTTTGGATCCTGGCTACTCACTAAGTGACCCTCATCCTTCATGTTGGCAATGCGTGAAGGATGCGGTGAGTGCCAGCGGCCCCTTCTCCCCCGCCGCCCCCGCCCCGGCTCCCGCTACTAATTCTTGTCATTCACTTTGCTGACAGGCACCAAGCCCAAACTATTCCCAGTCCTGAAAGGGAAGGTTAAAATATTTATTTCGGCTCATAATGGCCTCCCTGATTTAGTGCAGGATCATTTTTCCTGTTGCCTTTGTCATTGCAGGTCACTGGAAGGACTGAGCGCGTTCGGGAGCCTGGAGGAACTCATCTTGGACAACAATCTGCTCGGGGATGACCTCGTGTTGCCAGGGTTACCCAGGCTCCACACCTTAACCCTCAATAAGAACCAAATATCCTTGGCTCTGCCGCCACCCACACTCCCCTCCCGGCCTCGCAGTGGTCCCCTCCCGCAGGCCACCCCCCCCCCGCCCCCAACAAATACCTGCGAAATGTCAAATGAGTTTTATGTGTCAGCTAAATTAAAGCAGGTGAAATACAGTCCGTGGGCAGACAAAGCGTTGTGTCTCCTGGCACTCGGGACACTTCGGAGTAATTTATTACAGGTCATTCATAAATGAAATGCACCATTATATCTTCCTGTTGCTCCATTTTAGTGTAGAGATCTAAGTTATAGCTGTAAAGAAATCTTTTTAATAGATAAAAATAGAGAAAGAAAATAATGTCGCTGCTGCCGAGAAGGCAAAGCCGGGTTCTGTTTGCTTAGGCTTGTGTGGGAGGGCGACCTCTGGTGGGAAGCAGGGGGTAGTACCTCCAAGCAACCTTGGCCTTCAGGGAGGTTCCTGGAATGCTTTGGCTCAGGCTTGGGGAATGCTTTTGGCCAAAGAGAAGGGGGAAGGGGCTCAGGTGGAGGATAAGTGGGAAGCCCTGGCCCAGCTCTGCCCTCTGGGGTGTTTATGGTACTAGGATGATGAGAAGGGCAGAGGAGAGCCATTCTATTGTGTGGTTTCTCCTTAAGTGGGTGAGGATCTAGCACCCTGGGATGAGACTCAAAGGGACTAGTTGCTCTGGATTCTGTAGTGAGGCTAAGAAAGGAATCAGAACCTTTATTCAGTGTAAGCCACGCAGCTCCTCCAGGTTAGAGTTGTGGACCTCCATGCCTGCACAGTGCCAGCTCGCTTAGGCGGGGAGTTTTTTTGCGGTACGCGGGCCTCTCACTGTTGTGGCCTCTCCCGTTGCGGAGCACAGGCTCCGGACGCGCAGGCTCAGAGGCCATGGCTCACGGGCCCAGCCGCTCCGCGGCATGTGGGATCTTCCCGGACCGGGGCACGAACCCGTGTCCCCTGCATCGGCAGGCGGACTCTCAACCACTGCGCCACCAGGGAAGCCCATCATCAGCTGTTCTTTGTTGAGCACTCCTGTGGATCAGACACTATGCTAGGTAACTTTAAGTGTATTATTTTTCATTCTTTCCAAACTCTTCGAGAAGGGTGTGGTTTGTCCATTTACCTAGATGAGGAAAGAGGTGAAATATAGGCCCACAGCCAGACATTTAACAAGATGCTAGGCCCCGGATTCAGTCTCAGCTGTGGCCAGATCTAGAGTTCTTTCCATTTTACTGTGTTAACTTCAGACTTGAAATCCAGTCACCTTGTTTTATTGATGGAGCGTTTCACTTTCAGACCTGGTGTGGTTTAATCACGTGTTCTTGTTCACATGGTAAGTTAGAAATAGAAATGGGATGGGGGCATTTTCCCATAGAGTATGAAATAAAGCCAGATAAATATGTCAAGATTAACATATATGTTTATGTCAGCTTTAAGACTGATTTGCACAATTATTTTTAGCCACTGTTTATATGGTAAGTCATAAGTTAATATTTTCCTTATTCAGTAAAATATGGTATTTGTGTCCATTAATAATAGGCACTTTCTTAGAAGAAGGAGAAGGCCTACAAGTAAATATCAGTCTTTATCATAATGAAATGTTGATGGATTTTGTTTTTCTTCTCCTATCCTTTGGTCAACCAAGTTTCCTAGTTGTTGTTTGAAAAATTATTACAGTCAGTGTGTCTTATGGGTTCCTTAGCTGTCTGGGATAATCAGCTGGATGATATTCTCAAATCAATTAAGAATAAAAGGATAATTAGACTAGACTTTGGATGATATGGTTCCTCCTGTGGACCCCAATGCTCATATCGTGTGTCCCACGTCACTGTAGAGTATTGGAGTTGTTGGACTTGGGTTCATGAGTCAGCTTAATCATGTTTAGCTGTGTGGCCATGGTCAAGTAATGTTCTCAGAGCCTGTTTCACATTGTTGTGTGTGTGTGATGTTATAGCTTTCACCTGCCTATCAGAATAACTCATGAAGAGGAATATGTGAAAAACTTTTTTGCATGTTGGAATCAAAGTACAGTGATGACGTAAGCAAAGCAGGTTTCTGCATAGTTATAAAACCAGCTGCCTCTGCCCTGGGATATTGTCAAGAAGGCAATATAAAAAATGGTACAGTGAGAAGGGCTTCCCTAACAGCCCACAGATGAAGTCACAAGGACGGTACAGCAAATACTGTACAAATGCTAATCCCAAACTCAATTCCTCTTCTCACTCAGCACACTTCCTGGCCGCTTCTCTGTAGTATTAATTGGTACATACTGAGAAATGCAAGCTCCTTTTAACACCAGCCTGAGCAAAACAATTAAAAGAAAGGCATACCAGCCGTGAGAGAATGTCATTTCATGCAATCCCAGTCTGCAGATGAATCAATGGGTGATTTTTCATTTCTTTGATCAACCACTGATTTATGTAATAACCAATTATTGGAAAGTATTTGTTGGATACCAGTGTATCTGAAATACGTAGGTTATAGTATTGCTTTCTTCTATTACCACTGACAATTGAAGAGATACTGAGTAAGTATTGATGCCTGGCAGATTACCTGGTTAGTCTAATTAGGTTAGATTCTACTAATATTCATGCTTCATGTGAACTTACTAAGCATTACTGTCTCCCACTTTAGAGGATTCATTTTCATAACCTGGCATAGAATATACTGAAAATGCACAGGGATCCACTTTAGGATTAATTAATTAACTTTTTCAATTTATTTAAACTAAAAACAATAGCAACAAAAAAGCGGTTTACCATTTCTCCTACTCCCGTCACCCCCTCCCTCTTCTGGCAACCACCAGTCTTTTCTCTCTACCTATGAGCTTGGCCTTGATGTCGTTATTGTTGTTTTAGATTCCACATATAAGGGAGATCATACAGTGTTTGTCTTTCTCTGTCTGACTTATTTCACTTAGCATCATGCTCTTGAGGTCTATCCATGTTGTCACAAATGGCAAGATTTCATTGTTTTTTATGGCTGAATGGTATTTCATTGAGTGTGTGTGTATCACAGTTTCTTTATCCATTCATCGTCGATAGACACTTCAGTTGTTTCCATATCTTGGCTGTTGTAAATAATGCTGCAGTGAGCATGGGGTACATACATCTTTTCGAGTTAGTGTTTTTGTTTTCTTTGGATAAGTACCAAGGAGTGGAATCCTGGATCATATGGTAGTCTTAATTTTTTGAGGAACTGTCATACTGTTTTCTGTAGTGGCTGCACCAATTTACATTCCCACCAACTGTGCACAAGGGTTCCCTTTTCTTCACATCCTCACCAACACTCATTATTTCTTGTCTTTTTGATAGTAGCCATTCTAACAGGTGTGAGGTGAAATCTCATGGTGGTTCTGATGATTAACGATGTTGAGCATCTTTTCATGTACCTGTTGGCCATCTGTATGTCTTCTTTGGAAAAATGTCTATTCAGATCTTCTGTCCAGTTTGTAATTGGATTGGTTTTCTTTTTGCTTTTGCTATTGAGTTGTATGGGTTCTTTGTATATTTTAGATATTAGCCCCTTATGAAATATTATTTACAATTATTTGCTCCCATTCAGTGGGTTACCTTTTTGTTTTGTTGGTGGATTCCTTTGCTGTGCAGAATGTTTCTCATTTTTAAAGGAATAAGGTGGACTGAATAACGGTTTTGTTTTCAGTGTTGCTATCATCAGATATTAACAGGCTTCTTGTTTTTCCTTGGTTCAGTCCTTTTCTCCAGTCTGTAGCAGTAATGCTCAGGGAGCAATGATGGTGGTGTGAAAGGGACTGCAGTGGAAGGCAATGTGTAGCTGTAGATCTGGCCAGTTATATCGCTACACTGTTGTAAGTACTTTATTGCCAGTAGATACAAAAGATAACTAGTTAGCTTTTTCATGATGCAGCATGACGTCTTTCTCCCCTGATCTACCAGTGTGATCATGCACTTGACCAAGAAGTTGTAGGATGAAAGGCAGGTAAAAGCAGCAGTAACACTACATGCCATTCTCTTATCCTAAACTCCTGACTTGACCTTTTTAGCCAACTGAGTCTCCTCCCTACTTATAGAAATACTCCAGGCTCTACAACAGTCATGAGGTTCCATATTGCTATTGTTACTCCATGAAATGCCTTAGACTAGGGCTTTGTCAGTTAGCTTTGCTGTGTAATAATGCACCCCAAAAATTAGTGGCTTAAAATAACAAATATTTTTGGTTTACAATTCTGTGCATCAGCTGTTTGGGCAGGGCTCAGCTGTATGGTTCTTCTGCTAGTCTTGCTTGGGTCACTCATGCAATCACAGTTATTTGGAGGCTCGGCTGGATGATCTGAGATGGCCTTGCTTATATATCTGGAGGTTGGTACTGGTTGTTGGCTGGACTACATGTCTCCAACAGGCTAGCACAGGCCTTTCCATGTGGGAGGGATGCTCCAAGAGCAAAGCTTGATGTACAAGTACGTTTAAAGCCCTATTTGCATCATGGATGTTGCTGTCCCATGGCCAAAGCAAGTCACGTGCCAAATGTAGAACAAATATGGTTTGGATTCCAGAACCCAAACCAAGCATCTGGCACATTTCTTCTCAATTCACCTTCCCAGCTGCACACTTCCTCCTTGATCTCCCAGCCCTTTGTTCCACTTCTGTTCAGCCCTCAGCTTTGGGGTCCTGTTCTGGTAGACCTAAGAGCTTGGTTGTCCCAGTCTACCTCTTCATCTCATATTTATAGCTTATCTCTCTCTCCTTCCTTTGGCTTGTTTGGACTAGTCCCATGGTCACTGGCCATGGAGTGGACTTCCTCTCCTCAACACTCATATTCTCACACTCTCCTTGCTCACCCATGAGTATGGACAGTCTCAGCCATATCATGTCTGAATACTCAACCCTAAATAAGGGAACAACAGAAGTGTCAGGAAAATATAGATAGTTAACCTTTGCACAATCAAATTATTCTCTCCCACTTGCCTTTTGGGGGTGGGTAGGGGAAAGGTGATAAGCTGACTTCATTTTAAATCACACTTCATT